TGATGTTTTAAATATCCACCTTCTTTTCAGGACGTTCCATCTACCGTGGCTTTGACAGAGAAGATCAGTACTTGGGGTCATCCCGTTTAAGAACTGAGTGACAGGGAATTGAGTCTTGATTTTCTTTAGCCCATTTCTTGTTGCTCAAATGGTTAAATATTTAAAAGAATATGAATCAGACTTGTGTAACAGTGTGCTCCTTTGCTTCTTTTTAACAAAAACATGCTCAGTAACAGGAAAAAGGGGAAAGGTTTAATGAAGAAAATCTGTGCTGAGAAAAGACCAGAGAGCCAATAAAAAGCCTCACTTAATTGAGGAGCAGCTGCCTGCCTTTGAAAGCATTTATTCACGTGTTTTTCGGCTCTCACAGTCCGTTGTAGAGCTCTACAGACTCATACTGTCTGTGGTTAGTCAAGGTGCAGAGACATTAGCCAAGGAAGTAATTTAAATCCTCCATTTCATGAATGCGATATGGGAAATAACACCCTGTTGTTTAAAATTTTTTCAAATAAAATGGAGTTTGCAACTTTGTGTGAATTGAAAAGAAAGTTCAGGAATTGACCTTGTAGTTTCCTTTCATGAATGTGGAATCATGCTGCTCCCTCATCTGAGATCTGAGTCCATTTCTCACCTACAAGAGAATCTTAAAGCTCCTGGAATTTACATAAAACAAAGTCATGGAACCATTAAGTTCTGTTGAAGATTACTATCAAACAAAACATTAAAAAGTGGAATGATTATTAAAAATATTTTTATTTATCCACAGATTTCTATTTTAGTGTTTCTCAAGTACATGTCATTTAAGATACAGAAATTTTATTATTTCCATCACGTATTTCTCTTAAAGACATAGATTGCCCAACTATTTTCAGAAACTTGCTGATTAAAGCAAAATTTAATCAGAACATTTCAGAAATTACCAGTTTGGTTCTTTGGAAAATAATGAAAAATTCACCAGTTAGAATTTACAGATTTTTCCATTTTACTACAAAAATGATAGATGGCAGTTTTCTCAAATCTTAAAGGGACTGGATAATTAATACACAAAAAATAAATTTCCTTCTATGTTGTATATATAGGTGTATAAACTAAAGGGATATACATAATATATATTTACATGTGATAATTTTGAAAAGGAACCTCAGTTTTTAGTTATGTTAGCATGGTGGTAGTAAGAGTCACAGGTAATTAATTTGTCAAATGAATTAAGTATAAAAGACCACTTTTTTAGGTTTGATTGGAAATTACAATATAGCAATACATTTGTAAGATAAAATTTAAAAGAAACTCATGTATTTTCTATTCATCTACTTGGAAAATAGCACACAAGTGCCAATGTTGTGGCCAACACATCTCCCCTTGGAAATAAAATGCAGAATTTATAGATGTTTACAGTTATTGAATGTAAAAATAAATAAGAGGAAGTGGTCTTTGCCATTTCTATTTTTTAATACTTCACCATGATTATTTTATTTTGAAATATATAAACATCTAAGAAGAAGGAAGTAAAACAACAGACCCTAGAGACTTGTTGCTAAATTAAAACAGAAGTAGTTGCTTGATAATACATCCACGGCTGACAGAATTTTGTTTATTTTGACTCTGTCCATAATCATCTCTATGGAAATTAAAGAGGTATTTCTCACTCAGCTCATTTCATCTATTTTAGAAAAGGCACAAGAATCATTCAGTTATTTAGTGAAATGCCATCTGCTCTTGCCTTCTCGCATTACACCACTGACATCATTGCTTCACCATTAATTGCCCCTAAACTGCACTCAGGGACGGCCCCTCTTTGGTGAGAAAATGCCACGTGTCCATGGAAAGGAATAGTAGCTGTGTGCTTGTCTAATTGGTCTTAGTGGTTTTCTTGGTTAAAAAAGTAGCCTTTCAGGCATGCCTCTTTTCTTCCAGTACAGAGAAATGTGGGAAATGAAAAAAAAAAAAATCTCCTAATCATGTTTTCAACTCAGAGATGCTTTCAGGTTTGGATGCAAAGTCTGGATGTACATGTGGATCTTTGAAAAGTCTCCATCCAGTCATGTCTTCAACTCTCCACATACCTACCTCTCAGTCACTCGGCGCTTGTGTATGTGTTTGTGTGGATGTGTGTGTGTTATAAAGAATACAGCATAATGTGAGAGTGTCAGTCAGAGAGAAACACACACATATTAGAAAAAGCAAGAAGCACAGAGAGACAGTGACGCGAGGGGCAGAGGGACGAAGGTGGAAACAGACAGAGGGACCCACACCTTCACAGGCTCATGCACTCAGCAGTGTCGATGTTCAGGTTGGGATTGTGTGTCTGTAAGGATAAGCTTAAGGCATGGTTTTCAAGATGATGTAAAATGCTGTGGAATGCTGAGGGTGAGCTGTCCTTAAGCCTAGGCGTGCAGGGCTGAGCAGCAGGGGCACACCTTGTCTTCCCAGGACCTACAGCGCCGTTTAAGCTGGGGGCACAGGTGTCACAGTCCTGGGACCCACATTTGTAGTTGGGGCTCCTCCTGCAGCTGCTCTGAATCTGCTCAGGTCCAACTTCTCCCCTGGAGGGACGTACCCACAAAGCCAAGACTCCAAAATTTGATCAGATGAAAGTTTCACATAATTCCAAAGGCCATTTTGTCTGTAACTGTGGTGCCGGGTGGCCAGGCCTGGGATGAGGCTCTGAGGGTTTGGTAGCAGCGGGAAGACACATGGTCTCTCATGGGGAGTCTGGTGGCTTCATGAAGAAGTTGAGCGGAGATGGACCTCTTCCAGGAGGGTTTCCAGACTCTTCCTCTGGCCCAACAAATGTGAACAGTGGGTCTGTCTAGGGAGCTTAGAAAGTGCTGAAAGGGAGCAAAAAGCTGCTACCTCAAAATAGGTCTTTCTTAGGAAAAGGCGGATTTTCTGGGAGGCACTCTGCAGGCTGGCCTGGCAAGGTTGCTTTTGAAAAAAGGCATTTCCACGAAGCCTTCGGTAAGGGCTTGCGTATGTGAGGTCTAACCTCCTACAACTTTTCATCAGAAGATAGAACTTAATCTGCATGTTTGTCCACATTGCATTCCTCATACCTTCCTAACTGACCCCTCTCTCTCCCCCACGGCACAGATTTCTTCTGTTTTTGCTAAGCTATTTAAGATGGCGTCTGAAGTCACAGGCAAGTTACTTGTTCACGCTGGTGTCTCCCGTGTAGATACTGTTAAGCTTCTCTTTGATGTTCTATCAATCTGCCTGATGCTTGTTTGATTATTTCCCAGTCTAAAGGAACCCAGAGGGGTACGGGATGATTTCTTTTGTGCCCCAACAATGCCAACTAAAACATCATTCCAGATCAGCTCATTCCAAAGTTGGAGGATGCTTCTAGGCAGCCCAGCTAGAGAAAGACTGATTAATAGGTAATCAGAGTTACTCCTTGAAACCACCCACACTCACTGAGCAGGGGGAAAGATCATAAAACAGGTCTACTTTATTCCCCCAATGTTAAAAACTGCAAAAAAAAAAAAAAGAGTAATAAAATACACTTCTTGAAAAGAGACCCACTGACCAATGTAAAATAGACATTTTTTACATTGCTGTAGATACGAACCTATGAAGAATGGAAAATAGCGTTAATATTGAACATGGCTTGCTTAATTTAATTTCACAATAGAAGACAGCACTTTAAAAACAAAAGACGCCCACACTGAATCAGCTCTCTCATTGTTCTGTAAAAGCCAGAGCTCAATTTGGAAAAAAATTCACACTATTTCTAAGCAAGTGAGAATCCCAAGGAGGAAAAAGGATCATTATCTCAGTGCCTAATTAATTTTCAAAAATATTGTTATGCAGACAACTGCTCAACTATAATGCTATGCTCAGCCTCAAATTGGGGAAATTTCCTGACAATTGAAAAATTAGCAATTGCAATAAGGAGGGAAAAAAATCAAAGGTAAAATGCTCAGCTTAAGAAGAAGTATCTTTTAACATAATCCTTATTGGTTGCCATATAAGTAAACGGGATCCTGTGACTATTTAGCACTTTCAAAACACTGGTACTGAAAAATGGATATTTTTAGTAACCCTTATCAATTGCAAGCTTATTATCTTTCTTGGAATGATGTCTTCCCTAATTGAGATATTTGCATTTGGAAGTCCCTTTGAATCATCATATGTTCAGTGATCATTTGCAAAGAATGTAACAAACAAATCCATTTGGAAGGGATTCAGTCGTCCTAATTAGGAGAAGTCAAGACCCTCTCTCTGAAAATTATGAGGCCAGGTGTCTCTCTCTAAGTGCTTCTCTTGCTCCAGTCTGTGGGGAATAAACTTGGTAATCTAATCAGATTTATTCCTTTCAATTATCAGTGAAAAGTCAAAATGATTAATTTTTCCTGAGCAATGCTCTCATGAGTTAATATCCGTAGGAACATTCCAGTCTGTTTGGCAAGATGCTAGGGTCCTGCGTCTTAGGAGGTGTTATTGTAGGTGACATGGATTTCACAGTCCTCCATGCTGGACTGCTGACATTAAGTGGATTATCCCCCCAAAGCAGAGAGAGGAATCCCCACTTGGCATAGCACACTGGTGAGCTTTGGATCTGGCTCTTTGGAATACATTCCTTTCATTTGAGACATTGGATGTGGTGAGATGCTTCAGTCTTGAAATTCCCATAATTGACTGATATTTCCCTGAATTTTAAACCATTATTTCCTTTCTTCCTTCTTTTTTATTTTTTTTTCCTAACCAAAAATCCCCCAAACTTAGAGCAACAGTGTCTAACCTATTCCATTTATTCCATTTAATTATTTGTCCTTCTTTAATTATATTTTCTTTAAAATCACAAATAACAATTCAATTTTCCAGATGAGAATTTAGAGAGCTTGAGAGACTAAGTTGGTGATGTATTCAAAGCTAATACAGATGGCAAAGCAGTAAATTAATTCTTGTTGTTATCCAAAAGCTACAGTCTTGCCTATTATTCTCTAGTATCTTTACTCTCGATCCACCTGGAGGGAAGACAATGATGGGGTCAGCTGGGTTTGATTACAGAACAACATCCCAGTCCTGTTCTAAATCTGTCGGGAAGGTTAGTGAGAAAGGCTGCTTCTCTGACCTGCCTTGTGGTGGCACCAAGATCCCCTACTCCCCTGGAACAGAAGATAAACTTTCATTTTCCACTGGCTGTTTGTCATCAAGTTTTGATAAGAATATAAATTTCCATATCCCCGTTGAAAGTAACCACAATGAATCCATCTCCAAATATTTGCAGTTTGTTTCAACAGTGTTTTTCATTCATGTTTTTATTTTATTCAGATTAACATGATCTTTCAGAAGTTCTGCTTGGATGAAACATATGGCACATACAGAAAACTGGTAGAGATGAGGCTGGAGAGGAAACCAGAGACTCATTCATCAAGGGCGATGAATGTCATTTCAAAATAGATGTTTATGGTCATGGAAAAAATCTAGAAATTGTTGACTCATTGGTAGTGGGAGGAAGACAATGCCCATGATTGATGAGAACTTCTGTTGTCACAGTAAGAAACACAGGGAAGCTGGGAGTGAGCAAGAAGGGAGCAGCCCGGGAGAGTAAGGACGTGGTGTGGAAGGATGTTGTGTCTCCAGATAGAGCAGTATTCTAGCAACAGAATGGAGCATGGCCGGGAGAGTCCAATTGCTCACACACTTACAGCCTGTTTGTCACTGGTCCTACCCTTGGATTTCCAGGTCCATGCTTTCCTTATTAATAACCTCACTGACTTTCTCCTAGTGCCATTGTATTTTTCTATTTGACTCTTGTTTTCATTATATATAAAATATAATGTATACTATACATGTGTATATATATATATCACCAGAAGAAAATCATTAGGGAAATTAGATTCCAACGTTCCAGGGTCTGATTCTTTTTTGAATGTTTTTCCTGTAAGGAAAGAAAAAAAAATATGAAGGGAACTTAAAATATGCAAGATGACTGATTGGCATTAAATACTTGGATAGTACCAGATATTACATAATAGTACACAGAGAGGCAAATAGATAATTTATACATTTTTTCATATTTTATACATATGTATCACAAGAGATTTGCAAATTCATCACAGATTGAATCACAGTGGTCTACTTTTCAAAAATATCTGAAGCTTTCATCCTAGCAATTAAAAGCTGCTGGTTGCTACTATACTACCCTGAAAAACAAACCTGAATGTCTAGTTACAGGACCCGCGCCCATCCACCAGCAAACCTTATGTGCATCCTTTCCCTTGTCCTACCCCTCACATCTCCGGTTTCAACAGACCCCATAACATCGAAAGAGGCTTAGTCTTCATATTGGATTCCACGACTCCGGTGCCCTCTCTTCTGACACCCTTGAGGACACCGTCACTGTTTTGAAGGAGTTTGAGTCATGGGAAGATTTCCCAATGCAACTTAAATGTTTCTCTCATTTTAAGTTTAAAATTCATAGTACAGAAAATTCTTTCTGTGTTCCTGGATGGAAACTGAGACAGTCTCGTGGCTTTTCTGATAACTCATTCCTTTACGAATGAAAATCTTGATTGTCCATTTCCATGAAATAGTTAAAAGTATAACTTATTACAGAGCAGAAGTGACTCCTTTTTTTTTTTTTTTTCTTTTCTTTCTTTCTTTCTTTTTTTTTTTTAACTCCCTTTTTCCGACTGCAGCTGGCCCTGTGCTGCTTTCCTGCATCTGGGGAGGGATTGTGCTTGGCTTCCTCGACCATGTTCATCTGCACCTTTCCAGCTCACTGGGTGTTATTTCCACTGAGTCAGGTACTGAGGGTGTTCATGAAGGAGAAAGGAAGGAGCAAGAGAGCGCTGAGATTTAGGTTTCTGGTAGCAGCTCATGTGCAAGCTTCCTCTTCCTATAGGCAGTCAGTTGGCCTGCACCTGCCAGGACCATTCACCTACAGTCTTCTTGTTGTCAGTGCATGAATCTTGGCTCACCGTCTGCTCTCTCAGTCTCTCGGGATCCTCTGATGGCTTCAGCAACTCTGGGTTGAGTTCTGTCTTCTTTTAGGTAGCCTAGTCAACAGAATTTAAGGAGACTTAATTCTGGATCTCTCTCAGGTTGTGAGGCCCACGCAAATACTGAGTGAATACACAAAGGCCAGGGAAGCCTGGCTTTCTGTTCCTGTCCCCCATCACAGTCAGTGTGGCTCAACTTTGAAATTTCTCACAGAATTTCAGACACTACCTGTGATGACAGGGTTCATGTGTCAACTTGACAAGGCTGTAGTAGTCAGTCAAACAGCCATCTAGGTGTTGTAAAGGTGTTTTGTAGATGTAATTAACATAGGGAATCCACTGACTTTACATGAGCAAGAATAACCTTAATAATGTGGATGGCCTTCATCCGATCAGGTGGAGGGATTAAGAATACAAACTAAGGTTTCCCAGAGAAGATATTCCGTCTCAAAACTGGATCATGAAATCTTGTCTGAGATGCAAGTCTGAACGATTCCCATGTAGACTTCAGAACTTATGTCCTCCACATTCATGTGAGCCAGTTCTTAAAATAAATCTGTCGATCTATCTATCTATCTATCTATCTATCTATCTATCTATCTATCTATCTATCTATCTATCTATCATCTATCCATCAATCTATATATCTATCATTTATCTATCATCTGTTTATCTATCTATCTATCTATCTATCTACCTATCTGCCTACTTACCTATCTATCATCCGTCTAATCCACAGGAAATCTACACTGCAGGGGAACCCTGACTACTGTATCATTCTTTCTCATGTCCCTAAATTAGGAGACAGGTTTTAAGCTTTACAGATGATTTCGACTGACGTCTCCCTTACTTGGCTTGAGTTGAGAGTCACAAAAACATCACTCATTCTCCTTGAGAGGTTCTAAAAACACAGCAAACAAGTCCTTTCAAGAAATTCTCCTACATGTTTCCATAGCTCTTTGATTCCTTGTTATGAACTGATAGAAGGCCCCTTTGAATTTTTTTTTTTTTGATCAGATGTCTCTTATCTGTTCTATGTTATTAAGTTTCTTGGTCAAAACTTAAGCTTGTTCTTAAATAGGATACTTGATTTATAGGATGCAGCAGGAAGCTGGGGAAACATTTCCCCACATATCAGGGTATGTCTAGCTACATCTGTGCTACATAGTCCTGGACCTGTCTTGTCCTAACTTTCAAGGAACTTGCAATGTGTTTGATGGAGACAACACTTAACAAGCAATTTGTCACAATTCTAGGCATTAAGAAAAATAAAAAGCTGGAGACTAAAGTCCAATATGTGATCACTGAAAAGAAGACGCATTTTTGAAATGGTAGAAAAGGTGGGAAAGAGGAAAATCACTTCTAATTGTGAAAAGTAGCAGAATTAAATTGATATAGGTGGATTAAAGGTAGGTTGAAAGAAAAAAATGAAACCAAAACCAAATGTGGGCTATTATAAGACCTAGTGGATTCTAAGGTTGGAATGATAGGGAGGGACTGGGTTATTGTAGAAATTCACAGGCAAATATATCAAATTTTAAGGGTCCCACATCATCATGGTTGGAGAAACAAATAGTTGACTTGTGATGGCTTAGACAGTGATATGCAAGATGAGGCCTCGTAGGGTGGGGAAGATTATGGAGAATGATAAAAGTATTTGAAAGACAAGGAACTGGCTAGGATTTTGTTGCAAAGATCTTCTGCGAGCAAATACCTGTCACTAGAAAGCAGAAGCAGATAGAGTAATACTGTTAGTGTTGAGACACATTTCAGTGGGTTGTCTTATTATTTTCCCAAGGTTATAATATGACCTATCCATACTGCATAGAGTGAGAGCTCAGAAACCAGGCTCTGGCTGAGGCAGAGTCCCAATCATGTCTTATTTTCCCATGCCATTCATTGGCACATATTTATATTAAAGATCTTAAAACTAATCTTTCTTCTGATATAAAATGCTATTCTCTCAAAAAGTACAGCTGTTGGGGCTTCCCTGGTGGCACAGGGTTTAAAGACAATGCTATCAAGCTATCGCCAGCCACTGCAGCATGAGTACCACCCACAGCTGGCCAAGGAGCTACCCACATGGCACAGCAGACCTGTCCTGTCTTGCCCATTGCTCCCCTCAGCAGTGCATTTCAGTCAATCTGCCTGTTCTGCTTCCCACTCTCTCTGGTGAATCCCCTCACCCCCTCCCTGCACTTCTGGCCTATCCCCTAGTTCTTTTATACATAAATAAATTAATCTTTTTTAAAAAAGTACAGATGTTGGGCCTCCCTGGTGGCACAGCGATTGAGCGCTGGGTTGCGAATCTGCCCGCAGCCTCTGCAGCATTGGTTCGATCCCCGGCTGCTCCCCGGCCACTGGAGGAGGGTCCCACATGGTGGGAAAACCTCTCTTGCCGCCCGCTGCTCCCCTCAGCAGTGTACTTCGTCAGTCTGCCTGGTCTGCTCTCCTCTCTGACTCTGGTGAATTCTCTCACCATCCCGCTCTTCTGACTATACCCAATGCTTGTATAAATTAAAAAAAGAAAAAAAAAAAGAAAAAAGTACAGATGTTATATATGCTCCTCAAAAAAAGAAATTCTGAAAACCCATACATATGAAGAAAGTATGGTAGTGAAATATAAATATTTTTATTGACCTAGGCCAAATTAAAGGTATTTTGTTTGCTTCATGTTGACTTTGTTTTATTTCTGCATCTAGCAATGAAAGAAAGCTATCACCGCGGCCACAAGAGAGCATGAGCCATGCTACCTGAATCCAACCCTGGGAGGTGCTCCTCTTGTTTTCTCTTTTCTCAGCAGGTCAGTTCCGTTCCATCCTTTGTGAGGTCTTGGTAGTTGGAATGCCAAGTTCTGAGATGGAAGGATGAGTGGGCACTTTGCTTTAAGGAGTGCTTTCAAAATGGGTATTTAAGGTTTTTGAGAAGTTATTTACAGGACTAGATTGGATAAAATAGCAACATGTAACGCAGAAGTGGCAGCAACAGCAGCTTCCTTTCTCACTCTCAGTGGTGGGGCAGCACTTATCATAATTGCCAGACGAGTGGAGAACCCGGCTGGAAGCAGGAGATTGATTTCATGCCACCCCACCTTCAGCATTTTACATTTTAATAATTATACCATGTCTTTAATTTTCCTTTGGGGTGGGGCAAATTTTTATTACAACTGTTTTTTAAGATTCTTACAAATAAAATTTAAAAAGCTCATGAACTCAATGTGTGTTGACACAGAATCTGGATGTAACAGTCATTCGACAAAAGTGATGTGCTTAGTATTTGAGTGCTCCTTATAAGAATACTCCTGCCAAACATGAAGTCATCATATATTAGATATTTATTGAGGGAAATCAATAAAGATTTATATATTATGTGCTCATTACAAATATGTTTGTGCTTGTAAAGAAAAATATCTAAGACCATACCATTTTTCACTTCAACTACTTTTCATTTTGCTCCATAAAGTCTCAAAAATTTTCCAAAATTCAAGAATTATATAAACCTGGTTTGAATCTCTTGTTTATAATCTGACATTGCTAATGATATTGGGTCATGATAGATTGAAAGATAGCACGGAATTCCTGTAAAGGCAGTACAGAAGGTAAACCTTCAGTCTAATTACCAGAGCTATGGAAATTCTAATCCTGGAACTACTGAAACTGGAAACAATCCACCATCTGGAATTTGAACAGAGTTGGAATGGTTTGCCAATGATGCTTCATTCAAAGTGTTTGAATGTAGAGACAAGTACACTCATTATTATCGTCATTATTTTAGCCCATGTGGGATCCAAAGCTCAGAATGTACAACTTCTTTGGTGGAAGCGCTTATTGGTATGTGAGTTCTCTTCTGTAGTACACATTTATCAGCTGAAATTGTCTAACTGCTGTCACAGAACATGGTAAGATGTAGAAATTGAAATATTCAACCAATTGATCTTCTGAAGACCCTCAACTAGAAATATTTTAATATTTTTCACAACTATGTTAGCGAGATAGAACTTAAAAAGACCAATGTCCCTATTGAGATAAACCAAAAACACATGATAAAATGTCATCTCGAAAACCAACAAACTAAACAAATTGGGAGATATTTCAGAACTAAAAATTCAACCAGAATGTAGCCATCAATATCTTAAAGGGTTTTCAGAGAAGTGTACTAACTTTTCTTAAGAGATAGTCAGTGACCCTACTTGGCATGCAACACAGCCTAGAACAAATCACAAATGGAGATGTGTTTGGAGTACCCCAGAATAATACTTAAGATAATGCTAAAGCTAGGAACACGGACCACTGCTGGATGATGAACAGTGTTGATATGGACATGGAGCATAATATGAAAGCAAAACAGAACAGAGAGTATCTCCATTATTGTCCTAGGGAAATGTAAGCATAGGAGAGCTTCATCGAGGTGAATTCATGAAAGAACATGTGGTAGAAAAAACTGAGTTGGCAATATGAAATCCAAAATGCCCCAGTAAGATAGAAGGAGTACCTGAGGGTGGCATGGTTGAGCCACTGGAAATCAAGAACCTAGAGACCATGAAGTCAGGGCAAAGGTCTGCCATACCGGTTGCTATGTGAACAACATGTCCAGGCAGGAATGTAAACATCTCTCCAGTTATCAATATTAGTGCAAGAATTACCAGGTTATTAGTGTCATCAAGGTAATGAAAAGATGACCATTGGGCCAGCTACCTCATCTCCACACTTGTCTTTACCTAACACCTAAATGTAGCCACATGAGAGGGAGGGAGTTAGAATACACTGTAGACTATCTGTGATGGATTGAATTTCATTGCAATGGGTAAGATTATGTTTTCCACTGATGGATGAAAGGGAGCATTCAACAGAGAAATAATCTTGAGGTAAAGACAATATGTACATTGTAATACTTTGAAGTATGAATCTCATAGAATTTCACAATGAAGAAAAAGAACACAAGTGTATTCCTGGAGGGAAGACAAATCTCTATAACAGCCACAGAAAATATGATGGGGAGAAAATGAGATGCACAAGTTAGGTAATGAGGCTAGAAAAGTGTGTGGTGAGAATTGCTAAAAGCTATTGCTTTAAAGTCAGGGAAGCAATGCAAAATCCCTCCCCAAAGTTCTTTCTATTACATCATGCAGCATTAGAGTTTTAAGACACTACAGCAAGATAAAAGAAACCAAAAAATAAAGCTATGAATCAGACATTTTATGATTAGTTTAATTGGGAAAATAGCACAGAGACACAGTTAACCATATTACAAAACCATAGATTAAATGATAAATGAATTATATCACCCAAATTTTGTAAACAAGAACCAAGTCATGGAGATAGGGAATTATTAGGGAACTTTTTATGGGAAATCAGTCCTAAAATTCTTTTTCTTACAATGAAGTAAAATTGCATCATTACATTCTATAAATTACAGGTATGCTATGTTGAAAACCAACATCTATATATACTAACACTTTATATTTCTTCTTGACGGAAATACAACATGTAAATGTAGAGGACCAAAGTAGCTTTTGCACGCGTGGTAAATTATGGACACAGAGACATACTTACAGGAGCATCACAGAGCCAAGAGGGAACCCAAGCTCAGACCTGATAACAAAGATTTCAGGAAGATAGACTAATACTACTATATACATGTAAATTATACAGTAACAAAGAACTCATAATTGCTGTCTTGGGGCATCTGTCTATATGCTGTTGCTAAGGTAATGGGAAGTCGGTAAATGTTCAATGAGGCAGTCACTGTGTATTTATTGAAGAGCTACTATTTTCTTTAAGAAGGGGAGTGGTAATATCATTTTTGGAAATCAATTTGGCCATCGTAATTGCACATTCAGGAAAGCTAGTGTGAGACATACTGATTCTAGACTATGGTAATGATGGATGAATGGAAAACACAAGAAAGATGGAAAAGATGTGAGAAAGGAAGGAGAGAAGGTCATAGGGAGAAAATAAGCCAGTCAGGTGTTCTTACTGAAAGGGTGTAATAGAATCTGAGCTGTGGGGCCAGTGGCCAAGGACAGAGTAGTGGGAAGACCTGCTATTATCCAAACAGCCGGGCCAGTGCCACAGCAGCCTGAGAAAAGGTGGAGCTCTTGTGAATAGTCAACATCAAGGAGAACCGAGGCTCAGCAAAGCTTTGTATTTAAGACCTCTGAGTTTATTTATTTCCTTCTAAACACATGAAAAGAACTAAAGGAAAATGTGTTGAGGAAAAGTAGTGATTTTGAACACTTTTGGCACATTTTTCCATTTGTGATCTGATTAAAAGAAAGAGGCAGAAAATTGTTGTTGTTTTCTGAATTAACAGAAATTTTTCTGTGGGGAATCTTAAAAGCTCTTTCATATAAAATAGTTGTTTTTCATAAAGAAAGGGATTGATTTGCTTTTAAATGGTGTTTATTGTTTTACACAGTAAGAAACTCAAATACAGTAAGAGAACAATTATTATGTACTTTATAAGTACTTTATATATAAAAGGAGGTTGCTGGTTGGACTCACTTAAGAGGCAGCAAATTCAGTGTGTTTTGCTTCAGTGCAAATTTCTTTATGAGTAAGTTAAATCTTTATTTGTACAGAGAACAATAGTGATTATCGACTCATGTTATGTTTGGAGGAGGTTATCTAGAAGAGGAAAGCAAGGGGCAGAAGAAAATTGTGAAAATGAATAACAAAGCTAGATGTCCTAGCCCTTATAGGAAGGTAGTATAATCTGTGGTAATTGTTGGTGGAATAAATGAGAAGGAAAACATCCAAAAGCAAGTTCATATACACGCTGATTTTTTTTTAAGATTTGTTTATTTACACAAGAACCAGGGTACAGGCCAGATGTGTGGAAGGGTGAGAGGATTCAGCAGAGACAGAGCAGGGAACAGAAGAGGCAGACTGACTAAATACACTGCTGAGGGGAGCAGCGGGCAAGACAGGAGAGGTCTGCCGTGCCATGTGAGTTGCTCCGCTGCCAGTGGGGATGGAACCAGCACTGCAGAGGCTGCGGACAGATTCACAGAGCTGCGCTCAACCACCTGCACCACCAGGGAGGCCCTATATGTTGAATTTTATTAAGTGATAAATATAATATTTTATATGATAAAGGACTTGAAGGATAAGTTGTTAAATGGGGCTGGGAATCCTTGCTGTCCTTCTGGAAAAGTTAACGGTATACAACTGTTAATTGGTCACACAACGTGAACTTCTGTCTGGGATTTGAATTTTTAATTTGGGGATAAAATTTTTAATCGTAATAGAAAACGCATATGACATAAAATGCAAAACTTAACATAGAAATTATTACCAAAAAAAAATCATAAAATTTTGTGACAAACAGCATAAAGTTAGTTTAATAAAAATACCAGTCAAGGAAAAGTAATTGCAAAAAAAAAAACAGTATATACATAAACTATATGAAAAGCTACTCAAAATCATTGAGAAAGAAATGCAAATAACCAAATACAAATATAGAAGATCATGTCAAAATTTAAATCACGAAGAAGTCATGAAGATGACTAAGGACCAAAAAAGACATGGACATGATAAATTAGTTCTCCTTCAGATTGAAAACTATTTTTACAATTAACCTGCAGAATATTAGGGAGTGGGCATTATTATACACAACAGTGAAGAATATGCTATAGCAATAAAGCTTAAAAAGCAATGTAGTAGCTTCTGTTTTTTAAAGTGTGCATAGATTGCTAAGACTATTTGTGCAGATGGAAGATGCAAAATAAAATATCAGTGTCCAAGGTTAAAATAGAGGGAGGACCACAAGCTTTTGACCTTGTGTGTT